AGTGTACTGTATCATATTTATATGATTCATCGCCCCGTAAGATTTATCGTTGGCTATTATTCAGTCATTATATATATATATATATATATGTAAATGACAATGATATTTAGTTTGATTATAATTTACCGATAACTGTATGTATAAATTTGCAATATCCCTGTGTAATGTCAAATTGTATGTTTCTCTCTTTAAATAAGTTTGTCGTTGGATTGTTGGCTCATTGAAGTTTGCCCCACATTCAGTATTTAAACTTATTATCGCAATGTTTATTGTGTTCTTGCAATTATATTAACGATTTAACAATGGTAGTGTTTTAGGCGGTGTCGGTAGAAAATAAGAGTCGATGGACTTAAAATACTTCAACTATGATATCGTAAATAAATCAGCAAGAAAACGGGAAAATTAGTGTATAGATAATTGTATATCTACTCTCTGATTATATAAATGAGAAAAAAGGGGGGAAAGAGGGTCCAGTCCTAAAACGCCTGCGGCATGGCCAAGATAATAATGTCGCATTTACTGTCCGTTTTTGAGAAAACAAATTTTGTGTAGTGCATAAATTGGCAGGATTCTATAGAGAATTGCCAGTTTTTAATCCCCTCTTAACAACACATTAGGCACAAACTCTAAGAATTACAACTCGACAGAAAAGTAAGCCAAGAAGTTTTATCTTCTTAAAACCTATTGACATCTGTATGGAATTATTTGGCCTTTGTACATAGTACACCGTATTACAAGCCCTATTGAAAGCTCATATTGATTAAATTGCTTTGATGAAAAGTAGGGAAGCCAACTCAAAATTTAAGATCCTTTAATGTAAGCAAAATAGAGATTGAAGATCCTTTGGTGTGAGTTAACTTTGAATCGAAAACTTATAAAACAAATTCCTCAAAATACAAAAAAGTAACTTAAGGTGTTATACCACCAAATCATAGTACGTCACATCCGGTTGCATACGAAAAAGGGTCGAAAAAAATATTCCCTTGAATTTTACAGTTGTAGGAAATGAATCCTACATTTCATGGCAGTAAACTATTTCTGAGTCATAGACATATGTCTTGGGTGTTTCGAAACACCATTTTTTTTTTATTTGGTGTTTCTAAAGAATATTTTGGAAACTTGAGGTTACATGGTTACTAAAGCTTGTACACAGGAAAAAGGGGTGAACATTTGATTGGTTAACATCCAGTGATGGTTATTTTCATATATGCAATGAAATGTTATGTAAAATTTTGTCTATAGTACTGGACAGGATAAAACTTCACTCATGCCAAGTATTTCTTTATTTGAAACAAAGATAAATTCTGCACAATATTTTGTAAAGTGCAAATTTAACAAAGACTAATAGAGAAAAAGCAATGGTGGTATTACAAAGGTGTAATACCACCAAATCATAGTACGTCACATACGGTTGCAAACGAAAAAGGGTCGAAGAAAAATATTCCCTTGACTTTGACATTTGTAGGAAGTAAATCCTACATTTCATTGCAGTAAACTATTTCTGAGTCATAAACATATGTCTTGGGTGTTTCGAAGCACCATTAATTTTTAATTTGGTGTTCTATAGAATATTTTGGAAATTTGAGGTTACATGGTTACTAAAGCTTGTACATAGGAAAAAAGGGGTGATGGTTATTTTCTTATATATATATATATATATATGCAATGAAATGTGATGTGAAATTTTGTCTATAGTACTGGACAGGATAAAACTTTACTCATGCCAAGTATTTCCGCATTTGAAACAAAGATAAATTCTGCACATTTTTTTGAAAAGTGCAAATTTAACAAAAGACTAATACGTGAAAATCAATGCTGGTATTACACCTAAAAGGTGTAATACCACAAAATCATAGTACGTCACATCCAGTTGCATACGAAAAAGGGTCGAAAAAAATATTCCCTTGAATTTTACAGTTGTAGGAAATGAATCCTACATTTCATGGCAGTAAACTATTTCTGAGTCATAAACATATGTCTTGGGTGTTTTGAAGCACCATTATTTTTTTATTTGGTGTTTCTATAGAATATTTTGGAAATTTGAGGTTACATGATTACTAAAGCTTGTACACAGGTAAAAGGGGTGAAAATTTGTTAACTTCCGGTGATGGTTATTTTCTTATATGCAATGAAATGTTCTGTGAAATTTTGTCTATAGTACTGGACAGGATAAAACTTTACTCATGCAAAGTATGTCTTTATTTGAAACAAAGATAAATTCTGCACAATTTTTTTTTTTTTTGAAAAGTGCAAATTTAACAAAGACTAATAGGGAAAAAGCAATGGTGGTATTACACCTAAAAGGTGTAATACCACCAAATCATAGTACGTCACATACGGTTGCAAACGAAAAAGGGTCGAAGAAAAATATTCCCTTGACTTTGACATTTGTAGGAAGTAAATCCTACATTTCATTGCAGTAAACTATTTCTGAGTCATAAACATATGTCTTGGGTGTTTCGAAGCACCATTAATTTTTAATTTGGTGTTCTATAGAATATTTTGGAGATTTGAGGTTACATGGTTACTAAAGCTTGTACATAGGAAAAAAGGGGTGATGGTTATTTTCTTATATATATATATATATATGAAATGAAATGTGATGTGAAATTTTGTCTATAGTACTGGACAGGATAAAACTTTACTCATGCCAAGTATTTCCGCATTTGAAACAAAGATAAATTCTGCACATTTTTTTGAAAAGTGCAAATTTAACAAAAGACTAATAAGTGAAAATCAATGGTGGTATTACACCTAAAAGGTGTAATACCACAAAATCATAGTACGTCACATCCAGTTGCATACGAAAAAGGGTCGAAAAAAATATTCCCTTGCATTTTACAGTTGTAGGAGATGAATCCTACATTTCATGGCAGTAAACTATTTCTGAGTCATAAACATATGTCTTGGGTGTTTTGAAGCACCATTATTTTTTTATTTGGTGTTTCTATAGAATATTTTGGAAATTTGAGGTTACATGATTACTAAAGCTTGTACACAGGTAAAAGGGGTGAAAATTTGTTAACTTCCAGTGATGGTTATTTTCTTATATGCAATGAAATGTTATGTGAAATTTTGTCTATAGTACTGGACAGGATAAAACTTTACTCATGCAAAGTATGTCTTTATTTGAAACAAAGATAAATTCTGCACAATTTTTTTTTTTTTTTTGAAAAGTGCAAATTTAATAAAGACTAATAGGGGAAAATCAATGGTGGTATTACACCTAAAATGCTGCCACTTTATCCATTCTCGCTTATTTTTCCCTCTTCCCTTGTTTACTCACAGTGCATAAAACCTTGTCAAAAGACGTGTTTTGCAGAGGTGCTGGTCTGGGATATTTAAAACTTGGACCATACGTCTTAATAAATGGTCAACGATACAAGTTTACAACCAACACGAACACGACGTAAAATGTGTAGGCATTGTGAGTTAATTCTCCCGACAAAAGCAGTTCCTGTTCCAGGAAATGGTCAAACACTCTTTCGGTTTAAAGAAAATCAGCAAACTCGCTTATAAGACATCAGACAGAAACTTATTTTCTATAACAACTGTGGTTTGTCTTTTTTTTTTTGACAAAATAAAACGAAATATTGTTCTCTCAGTTTTCCTATCTAAGTGCAGTTTTAAGATAATGATGCTTATTATTTATTCTTTTGGTTTACCTTATCTATTAATAGCATTATTTTAAAGTAAATCATTTTTTCTTTCCTTTGTTTATTTCTATTGCTTGTTCCTTGTAGCTTTTGTTGCATTTAAAAGGGGATTGAGATCACAAGAAACTTGTTTAACCCAACTACATATTAATTTGCGTGTCTGATATCAGGAATGTCGTTTATTTTTATACCAAAATGTGTTTGTACTTTTGGAAATTGATTGATAGAGTTAATTGTAGATCTTTGGTAGGTTCTGGTCATAACGTTCATAGATTTGGAACGATTTAGAACATGACGTATTGTTAGACGCTTGTCTATTGTTGAAGACTATTTGTTGATCCCTAGATGTGTTTTTAATTGTTTGCGTTTGAATGCTGTCTCATTGACGTATATTAAACATTTCCCTTAATTCATCCGCAAATAAACTTATGATGGACTACTTTCAAAGACCATTTACACCTAATTGATTATTCGACAGCATTTTTAACTTATGATCGGATTAATTTACCAACTAGTATACAATAGATCTTACTACCATTTTAAAACTGATCCCTTGAAGTGTGAGGTAGTATATATCGATATCAGATGGAATACATTCACAACAGTGCAGGCAAATCCTAATATGTATATATTGCCAGTGTTATGCAGTTGCAAAAACATAACCAGCATCAAGCTTAAAGTCTAGGCAAATAACAAAAATGTCATAGATGAACGATAATTGAGATGAAGGATTTTAAAAAAATAGACTGCTACGCTAAAGTATTGTTAAGAAACATATATTTCAACTCCCTCATACAAAAAAATAGAAGTTTATGAGTGATAGTTTTGGTCGTTAAGCTCTTAAACTGGAAAAGTTTTTGAGTAAGAAATATCCTTTATAATGAGTCAAATTACAACAAATAGAACATAGACTGCAGAATGTTTCAACAGAGACTAGATAATAGGGTTTGACCCAAAAAGGGAAGTGACAACAGTTTAACTTATTGCTTTTGTAAAAATTATAGTTATGTGTCGTAACTTCGAAAGGCATATGTTTAAATACACAGTACATATTATTGTTGCTGTAGTAACCTTATTTTAAGAACATTATACTCTAATTTTTGGTGTACAAGTACCGCGTGCCACCTATCTAAAGTAGGTTTCCTTTCTCAGCTGAATGCATGTGGAAGTTAATTTATCTTCACATTAACAAATTGTCATCGTTAATTTCGGTCTATGGCTCCCGATAAATTCTTTTATTAATTTAGATTTCATACGAGGAAAACACATAATCTCAATGCAAAGAATATTATATTTGGTAACTATGTACAAATGATATCACTGCGTTTTATATCGGTCCATACTTCAGTAGGCTGGAAAAAAATAGAAATGTTTATTATTATTATCATCATCATTGCTATTAATATTTTTATTATTATTATTATTTAAAGTTTAAACAATGTAATGTCCCAAACTACCTTGTGAAAACAGGTAACACCTAAAGAATTGCTGAATACACAAATGGTGCAATATAATTAATGTTTACGCTTCAAGTTCGTGACTTTATATAACAGTGTACTTTAACTAGAATGCCTTTACTTCACAATCTTTAGCTGTATTTGGCAAAACTTTTAGGAATATTTTGTCCTCGCTGATCTTCAGCTTCGTTCCTTTTTGGCCTTTTAAACTGTTTTCATTCGAGCGTCACTAATGAGTCTAATGTAGACGAAAGGCACGTCTGGCCTAGAAAATTTCAATCCTGGTATCTATGATGTGTTTATTTATCATATTTTCATGTATGGTAGATACTTCAACTCCTCGCATTTCGATTTAGATTTTACAATGTTTTCATTTAATCACATTTGAGTAAATTTATAATATACAGATATAGCCTTTTGATGAAATCACTACAAGTCTTCATTTTCATTGCCCAATGAATGTATATTGACTGAATCATAGTACGGATCGGTGAAAACGTATGACCGATATGAAAACACAACAATAATTTTTCATAGCATCATATTGTTCTTAAGATTTGACTTAATTAGGAATAATCATCATTCATTATATACTTCTGATTGTTAACCAACTTTTTATTTACTGAATTTTCTACAGGGGTTACATGAATTTTAAGAGTCCTAAACAGAGCTAGACATATTATTTCCATAACTACCTCAACCGCTTGATAAAAGATTTATTCTCAAGACTAGATTTTTTCCTGATCATGAGTTGAATTACATTGAGTTACAAAAGGGCTGGTAAAGTTAAATAATTAATATTTAATTTCAGTATAATGTTGCTGCCAACGTCAACAAATACAGTCGCATCTATTATCTTACAAAAGACTAAGTTGTTTCTTCATTTTGTTCTTGTAGTGTAAAAGAGCCAAATTTACGTGTTGAAACTTCCAACAAAAGTGTGGGAAAGATATATCCTTGTGTACTGAACTACAGGTTCCTTCCTTCGGGCAGGCACATAAGGAACGTGGTGGGGGTTAAACATGTTTTAAGTCACCGACCCACCCCTTACCTCAGACAGTGGTGAAACGGCACAACATAAGAACAAATTATGCAAAACAATAAACGAAAAAATCAAATATGAGAAACAACAAAATACGACAACCACTAAATTACAGGCTCTTGACTGTTCATAGGTAAAACAGCTCATCAATCAATACAGTCACACTAAAATGGAACTATAAATAGATTGTAATGCTTATTTTCTAGAAACCCATATTGTTAAGGTTTCTGATGTTATTCGGAAGATTGTGAGATGCCCCAGTTGAAGTTGTATGTGGGACTTTTCCACACATCAAGTGTAGTGTGTTTACTATCTTTAACAGACAAACAAAACTATCTTTGTTTTGCCATACCGGCCTACTCTAACAAATCAAAACTTTATCTTACCTTTTCCTCCGCCACCTCCGTAGCTACCGTATCCGCCAGCGCCAAATCCGTTTCCTCCAAAGTTTCGAAAGCCGATTACACCACCATTACCGCCTACACCATTTCCGTTTCCTCCACCATATCCTTTTCCTCCACCATATCTACCATACCCTCCATTACCATATCCACTTCCTTCAAAGTTGCCGAAGCCGATTCCACCATCATTTCCGCTTCGTCTGTCGTAACCTTTCCCCCCAAAATTGCCGACACCGATTCCGTCACCATTATCGCCTGCACCATATCCATATCCATTTCCTCCTCCATTGCTGCCACCATAGCTACTATAACCTCCATTACCGTACCCACTTCCTCCAAAGGTGCCAAAGCTGATTCCACCACCATTACCGCCTACCCCATTTCCGCTTTCTCCACCGTAGTTACCATAGCCTCCATCTCCATATCCACTCCCTCTTGAGTAACCAAACCTGATTCCATCACCATTACCACCTGCAACATATCCATATCCTCTTCCTCCTCCATTTCCACCACCATAGCTACCATACCCTCCATTACCGTACCTCCTTCCACCAAAGTTACCAAAGCGGATTCCACCGCCATTACCGCCTACCCCATATCCGATCCCTCCGCCATATCCTTTTTCGCCACCGTAGCTACCATAACCTCCATTACCGTTTCCACTTCCTCCAAAATTTCCAAAGCCGATTTTACCTCCATAACTGCCTACACTATATCCACTTCCTCCTCCATTTCCTTTGCCGTAGCTACCATAACCTCCATTACCGTTTCCATTTCCTCCAAAGGTGCCAAAGCTGATTACACCACCACCACCGCCTACACCATATCCTCTTCCACCACCATATCCTTTTCCACCACCGTAACTACCATAACCTCCATTATCATATCCACTTCCTCCATAGTTGCCATTTCTATTTCCGCCACCATAGCTCCCATATCCTCCACGAACGTAGCTACCATACCCTCCACCACCATTTCCACCTCCTCCAAAAATACCTCCTCTACCACCACCCTTTCCACGTCCATAGACAACACCCAAAATGGCAATTAGAAGGCAAATGGATAACTTCATCTGCAAAATTAATTTTTATAGTAACTCTGGTCATATAAAAGATTTAAAAGTAACAAAATTTGCTGTCGTTTTAATATGGGTTTTTGGGGGGATTTTACGACCACGCTTTTTGAAGCGCGTGATATATAGTGATAGTTGTAATCGTCCGTTTGTTCATTTGTCTTTCTTTGTATCCGTTAATTCCCCATATATGGTAACAAGACAGAATTGTGTAGATACTGTCACATAAGCTTCCTTACATTATGCATGTTGTACATCTTATTTAGTTTCTTCATCCAAATGATCGTATTTCTATTATCTTCTCTGGAAATGGATTAATCCGCATACTACAGTACACTCTTGGTTCCGCTTCTTAACCCTTAATTCAGAACTAAATAACTTTTAGAATCTTCATAATACAAAGCTATTTTGCACATCCTATTTTGCTTTTAACCTAATTATTTTAGGAAAATCGCTTAGCACATTTTTTAACTTTGCAACGGGCGCGGGTATAGTTCTGTGAGCATTGCTCGAATCCCCTCTATTTTTGGGATAATGATACGAGTATAAGCTGTCTGAAAAAAATTTCTGGTATCTCAATTTTCTAGATAGCGATTGTCATTATTTGAAATCTATAAAATGATTCATCAAAACATTACAGCCATTTAAAACTCCCACGTTTGATATGAGATCGCAAGCCATTCATTTTTATGATGTCAGTCGCATTTGATTCACTAGTACATTTTAAATATACAAGAATGAAGTTTCCCTAACTCAACTAGATATTTTTGTCTGACATAGCATTGATAATTAGTTAGAGAAAACATTGTTAAATGTTCAAAAAGGGACAATGGAAGCGATGAAACACAGACAACACCTTAGCAAAAAAACAACGAAGAAAAACAAAGCGTTCAAACGAGTTCATCTCGCTTTTGACATTACCAATTAGGTGAAAAGATAAGTTACATGGAATAAATAGATTCTCACTCAGATTGAACGTTACGTTTGAAGCCTTTTTGGCGGTATTATTGCATAATGGCATGGAACTGAATTCTAAATGTATGATTGAAATTCAAACGAAAAAAAAATTGTCTGTAATTTCCAGTTCATAGCCAAAGCTAAGATTGAAACTCCATTAGGATAAAACTGACTTCATAATTAGGATCTGTTTAGTCTATGTTCAGACTGTTCTTTATTTGTTATTTACATTTATACAAAAACATTATACTGAATTATCTGAAAAGCTACTGAGCAGTACTGCAATGACTGCAAACAAGTTGTTTCAAAAGTTCTGAATTTACCCCAGCGGATTTGTCTAAACAATTACTAGAAGACTGAAAATGGCTGCATCATTTATCGTTCAGACTTTTCAGATGATGTTAAGATCAACATTACAGTTTAAAAACAAATTCATATACTAGCGTATATCATATTCGAAAACCTTTAAAAGCTATCTACATAATTAAATATGATAAAACTGAGATTGGAAACTGAACATGTGTCAAAGAGACAACAACCCGACTAAAGAGCAGAAAATAGCCCAAGGCCACCAATGGGTCTTCAAAACATCGAGAAAAGAGGTTCCTGACTTTGGAAATGCGCAAAAATGCAACTGGGTTATATATGTTTTGTGAGATGTCAACCATCCCCTATACCTCTAGCCAATGTAGAATAAACATACATACAGCAATACGCACAGTGAAACTCAGTTTAAAAGAAATCCGAGTCCGGTTTTAGAATAGGTAACAAGAAAACTAAGCAAAATGACAATGATCCACATAAATTAACAAAGGACTACTAGCACAGTTACCGACATGCCAGCTCCAGACCTTAATAAAACTGATTGAAAAATTTTATTTTCATCGACTGAAAATCAAGCACAATCCCTCACGTTAGGGGTTTAGTATCGTACCATCATAAAATATACGAGAAGAACATAACCCTTTCAGGCCAACAACTGGTTTTAGAATAAATATGTGTATTACCGATGCAAAGACCCTATGAATGAGTCATTATAAATTCCAAGAACTGCCATCTTTAATGACCTGACGAAAGTATTGTAAATATATCCCTTCTAAATAAGTCTGTTTAAAGGTTTTGTAGCTTTTGACGTGCATGACGACATTTTTGTGCTTTGTATAGAATATTACCACAAAAGACAGGATGTGAAATACCTGAATGTATAGGATATGTGCACGTTGATTTATATTTACAAATGATATCCTTGTACCGATGATAAAATTTAATAAATGTTTTGACAAGTTTGTGATATCGAAAACCTTGGTGTAATAATTTTTTCAGGAATACTACCGTATATCATATTTGAAAACCTTAAAAGAGCTATCTACATAATTAAAAATGATGTTGGTTTTTTTATATATTATTTTTAATTCACGAGGCACTGATCATTCATCGTTTGTGAATAAAATTAATTTCAGGAAATTTTGTTTTCGCTGTTTATACAGGGAAAAATTATTATTAGTCCTGAAATTGGTTCAGGTATTTTTTTAATGAAGTCAAAATGTTTGTCAGAAGGACACCCCGTCTCCTACATACATCATACATAAGATGAATAATCGATGTCTAAGAGACGTGTTGTGTATTATAAACATTCTTAATACTTTAGTTCAGATTATTTCCAGATAAGAAAGAAACAATAAAACAATAAAAATGTCGTAAGTCCGAAGCATTAACCTTCATCAGGAACTCTCAAACCTAAACTTTTGAAACCCAGAGATGATTAGATACGTGGGTAAAGTAGGATTTATGTGAACCAAAAGGACCTAAAAAGAATAGCCAAATTCACCTTATGTCAAATTTGCCAGTGGTAATTAGAATCTTAGTTTTTCCTTTTTATTTTTTATTTATTAAAAGGGGATTTTTATTTTGAATATTTAAATTCATGTCATTTCCGAAGACTAATGAACGGATGATTACCTCAGGGACTTACAGTCAACTAGCAATGGTATCGACCCAGTGCTAATAAATGAAAATAATACTTTACAAATTTTGTGCGTCCGAGGCCCTTTTCTGGCTTTACCTTTAACAGAACGCTGTAGCCTATACATTTGAAATGATGAGTTTATTTGAAAGCAAGATATTCATAAATACGCAGAACGTTAAATAATGTTTACGTAATACATTAAAACATAATAGGGCAAACTAAATAGAGTTTGATATATTTAACATCACGTACATTATGAACTGTGCATGAAAAAAAGGGTTTCATATCTTAATAACATAAAAGAATTAAACCAAAATATACAAAAATGTCTGGAGATCCGAAGGTACCTAATGCAAATAGTGCGACGTTACCAAAATGCCTTGTTTTCAATATAAATAGTTAGTCCCTTTCTTCCACTATATAGTCATATCCTACAAATCGAAGTATTCCTCATCTTTCACTTCTCTAAATATGAACGACATATTTGTCGTAACCAATTAATTCATTTTAGAATGTAAATACAGAATCTATCTATCAACTTAACTTTTATCACGCAATCATGTGTATTCCTGAAGGTTTGAAATTAAATGGAAAACAAATCATATATTGAAAAGTTCAAATGCCTTACATTTTTTTTAAGTTCATAACTAATATTTTTTCTTGTACAAATGCTAAAGATTTAAGCCTATGATAATGTGTTTGCTATCCCTTTATTATATCTGTGTTGACCTTCATCTTTCGAACTGGTTGCATTCTTTAGTTATGCATATGATATGATGGAATTAAACATGGTTTGAGCGCCTAAACCACCCCTTTTGATTGTGACAATGTTGTTATAAAGAATAAACTCTGAAAATCAGTTTGAATGAGCTCGAGTCATCAGAACATACAAAAAAATAAAAAGGACCAAAGATACAAGAGATCGATATAAAATACTCCGTCACTGGAATTTTTTCAAAAAGATATAAGACGATGTGGTATGAGTGCCAATGAGACAACTCTCCATCCAAGTCACAATTTTTAAAAGTAAACCATTATAGGTCAAAGTACGGCATTCAACACGGAGCCTTGGCTCACATCGAGCAGCAAGTTATAAAGGGCCCCAAAAATGACTAGTGTAAAACCATTCAAACAGGAAAACCAACTGTCTAATCTATATAAAAAACGAGAAACACTTATGAACCACATCAACAAACGACAACAACTGAACATCAGGTTCCTGACTTAGGACAGGTGTAAACAAATGCAGCGGGTTCAAACGTTCAAATAGGCGCCAACCTTCACCCTACCTAAAATCATGGTGTAACATCACAACATAGAAAGACACACTATAAAATATCAATTGAAATGGCTTAACTCAATCAAAAGACATATTAACAAAAACAAGTGTAAATACAAAATTAATAAAACAAGGGGGTGAGATGTAAAGCAAAATCAGAAAGACAACAATAACATTGGGCAAAATGTCGCCAAATAAAATAACGTACACAGGTAAATAAAAATAATTTTGTTGTAAGGTATGCATGGTATACATGGAGTACGGAAATAATTTTGTTGTTCCTAGTACAAGAACAAAAGTGAAAATTTATCGTCATACTAAACACTTACCAAAGGTGGTATATATTGAAAATAGTGAGACGAGATATAACACTAAATAAGTGAACATTAAATAGCATAAATACATTACAAATTGTATCAACAGTTCAAATTAACACGAAAGTATTTGAGAGTACTCGCAGTTACTGAAAAAAACAATTAATAATAAAACAAATCATGCATCAGAGACTTAAATCAACTTAAACACATCCCAGGGATTTAGTGTTTTAACCTCATGGACTTTCAAAGAAGACATGACTTGTGCAATGCCAAAATAAAATTATCGACAGGCAGTAGGATAGTTAATCTGGTAATAAATATGTATAATGTAATATATAAATAGAGTAATCTCTATATAGAAAATGAACGTAGATGTGTATTTATACATCCAAAAAAGCCTAGTTTTAAATTAGAAAAACAACTATGTTTCACCAGATGTGCATGTCAGCCAATCACACACCCATTTAATTGAGAGTAGAGT